ATATAATATGTCTCTTAATTTAGAACAGAGAAAGTTTATATACAATATCAAAAGGTTGCATATATAGTTCCTAATATTATTAAATAATAAAATCATTGACAGCAATTAAAATATCCAACAGCATTGTTGATAGTCAATAAAAGGTTAGCAATGGCTACACAATATGACCCTGTAGGATAGTTAAACACGTTGTAAAAGTAAATACATTGTGTGGGTGAGGCAGAAGCATCATATGTACATAGAGAAGTATAGCATGTTACATCTTGTTCTACACCAATACTACAGTTTGCAATCATATCAGCAGCTATTAGAAAGGTTTTTGTGGCACATGGAATAAATGAGTTTATAGTGACCTTTTTCAAACAGTCGGTATTTTGGTTTACGTCACTTGTAGGCATTTTGTCTTCGAGTAAAGAAAACGAAACAAATGCAAAGAAAAGAATGACTGTGATTTTTTTCTAGAAAAAAAAAACAACAATTAAAAATCTCCATTATTGGCAAAGAAAAACAAAAATAAACAAAAAACTTTTGAGAGCCATGTTCATAGTTTTTATAGTTTTTCAAACTTGTTGTATGTAATTCTTTTAAAAAAATGTTGAGTGTATTGCATGTTTTTTTTTGTTTTTTTTTTTAATTTAATATATGTGTCCTAATAAGTCCTTACAGAAATAATCTATAATGTAAAAATCACATTTTATTTATCATCAACAAATATGTTAACAGCTCTATTATAGTATTTGCTATTTTTATGGCTAACTTTACATTTCAATTCTAATTTACAATAATGTATTTTTTTGCAATAAAAGTTACGTAAGTATAACAATTTAATGAACATTAACATAATATATCTACCAATTTAAGTATAAAAAATTTTTATTTTTTTAGTGACATTACAAATATTTTGTCTTTTTTTGAAATATGAACTTGAAGTATGTTTATAACCAATAAGTAAAAAAAAGTTAGTGAACAAAATAACAATAAACGAAATATTTTCTTTTTTCAATTTTACAAAATTACACTGATTATAAATTAAACTAAAATATTAAAATTTATAATTAGTGTAATTTTTGTAAAATTAAAAGAAGAAAATATTTTGTTTATTGTTTATATTGTTGACTAACTTTTTTTACTTAATACGGTCAACTTGTTTCTCCACGCAGCATCATAGTTTGCCAAGGTTCGTGTTTTGGAGTTATATAGTTAGGCGAGGTTTGTTACCACAGTTGTAAAAACAATTAGACTTCTCGACTGTAGTAGCCCTCGAAGCCTTTTGGAGGTGAATTAACGAAAAAAAAAAAATGCTTTATCATCTTTATGATTTGGTAAGTAACAGATCTACTGTATCAATGCTAATTGAAACATTAAAAGCTAAAAAATGTAAAACTGTTCTTTCATTTTTATTAGGAGAGGCCGTATCTTGAAAAGTTTATAATTTTTTTTAGCAGCGTCATTGTCAACAAAATGAATAATACTTTTTTAATTTTTCAAAGCGGTTGACGGGCATAATATCAGCTATATGAGAAATTACAATGTAAGACGACCAATAATCTCTTTTGCTAGAGAGTTTGACAATAGACATGTATAAAACGTAAGCCACAAAACTAATTATGTCTCTGTTACAGCTACTAGTTTTTCAGGATTGGTTTGCGTGGAATACGATATTGTCTGATAGGCAATGTTTTATTCTAATAGAGCTTTTTAGGGATATATCCTTAAAAAGCTCTATGGGGAAAAACCGATAAATGTATGACATTTCTGAACCAAGACCATTCAATTCCTTCATTCAATTCAATTCAATTCATTCAACTCGTCCATTTGCTGCTTAAAATTAGCTTTAAATTTGCGGTCTTTTTGTTTATTCGGAAAGTTTTCAACTTTCCACAACGGCTTTGAGTACATTGTAGGCTTTACTTTGACATTGGCATTAGCTTTATTGGTAGCTGAGACCATTGTTGCACCGTCATTTTGACCCGCATTTTCAGTTTCTCTCGTTATAAAAAAAGTTTCAAAACAAAAACAATAGCAATAAAACAAAAGTGTAAAACTTCAAATTTTTTTCCATAGAGGCATGATCTGTCATTTCTGATATGGTTATAAATATAGTTGTTAAGAATTAAAAGTTTAAAAGAAAATAACAAACTAACAAGAGGACTACCAATATATATAAATAATATATGTACTCACAGCGTGGAAAGTTGAAAACTTTCTGAGTAAACAAAAAGACCGCAATTTTAAAACTAATTTTAAGCAGCAAATGGACGAATTAAATAAATTGAATTGAAACTTGAAGAATCTTGGTGAGTGTATAATTAAAAGAAATCTTGCAAAACAAAATTTATTATAAAGTTCATTTGTTTTAACAGCTTTTTTTTTCCAATTAGGGATCGTCCATAAATTACGCAACGCTAAATTTCACTAATAATGTAAAACCAAAAAACAAAAACGGTCAAAAGTTTTCCCTCCCAGAGCTTTGAGTTTAATAAAAAATCAAAATAGTAAATAACTTTAATGAAAATCTTCGCGTGAAGGGCTGTTTGTTTTTTAAAATAATATTAACATTGCGTAAATTATGGGCGACCCTTACTTCATTGAAGATAAAATTCCAAGTTTTTTGCTTATCGCCTTTAATTTTTAATAATTGATTTGAAAAGGAAGACTTTTTCGAACGTTAAATTGATTCTAAGAGACGCTTATATTTTTTATAATTATGTTCATTTTTATAAGTTCTTTTTTCCAGAAATGCTTCAGGCAAACGTTTTTTTTTTTAAAGATAATTTTACGATTCCTAGTGTAATCCAGGGGTGTAAAAATGTTTTAGTTTTAATATATTTTGTTAACATTGGTAACACTCTGTCATAATGATTTTGAAATATTCGAAGAAAACTGTTAAATGCACTGCTCGCATTTTGATTCTTGAAAACATTATCCAAGTTTGCTAAAGATAGAAAATTAATAAAAAGTTTTATCAAGTGTAGTTAAACGTTCGTTTTATAATTTTTATTTTTTTAAGGGGATGTTCAACATATTTTTGTTCTAATAATGGAAAATAATCTGATATATTGGATATATATATAAATATATATATATATATATATATATATATATATATATATATATATATATATATATATATATATATATATATATATATATATATATATATATATATATATATATATATATATATATGTATATATATATATATATATATATATATATATATATATATACTATATATATATATATATATATATATATATATATATATATATATATATATATATATATATATATATATATATTATTTTTAATATTTGTAAATTTATTAATTAATATTTGAACATTTAAAGTTGCGCTTTTTCTAGTGAATTCAAGTCGGTTTATAAATTGTTAAAATAAATCCGTTTTTAAATGTGTAAAGGAAATTTTTAGGGCATTGTCTATTATTCATGTAAAATTTAATGGTATGTTAAACGTAACTATGGTTGACACGGGTTGTTTAAAGACCATTATAAATCAAATACTATTGTCAAGAAATCAAAATAAATACCAAAATCCTCCGAGGTAGTAACTTTTAATGGTAGAATTAATCAATGTAATGAAACAGTGGCTATCACTATTGAATTTGATGGTATCCAAGAACGAGAAGAATTTATTTTGATGGATTTTCAACTGTTTGGAGTTGGTACGATGCTTGGAATGAGTTCCATTAATTTGCTTGGAGGAGTTTTTATTTTCACGTATGGAATGGCATAATTTGGGTTCAGCTAGTATGGAATAGCAGTCTTGAACAAAGATAAAGTCAATAAAATTAATATTAAAAAACAAGACCATGAAGCAATATTTAATGGTGTTGAATAAAAAATTAAATGAAAATGGAGAGTTGGAGAAGGCCCCGACCAATTATTTAACAAAGTTGCTCAATACGTCATACCAAAATATGTAAGAGCAGAATATGAAAACGAACTACAGGATTGAATCAATGGTATATGGTTAATTGAATATGTCGAAAATATAGTAGACCACCCACAGGGCAAACTCCCATAATGACTGTCATCCAACGAAATAAAGATAATATAGTCAGACCCAGTGATATTTTTGTTCGGAAAATAATTTTAGTTTTAGTTTTTATTCAGTTTAGAGGCAAAGTTTTTAGTTCTAGTTCTTATTCAGTTCAGTAAATAAATTTAGTTCTAGTTTTTATTCAGTTCATCTTAAAATAATTTTAGTTTTAGTTTTTATTAGTTCAATTTTCGTTTGTCGTATAAATTTTTTATCTCATCTCATTATAATTTAGTATAATTTATAAATAATATAGGCATATATAATTAAAAGAAGTAAGTCTTAGTTCTATAAACAAACAAAAAAATGAGAACTTAATTAAATGTAATACACCCAGTCCCATGGCTAGAAGTTTAGAGCCCCGCCCACCGCCCTTAATAAAAAACACAACAACAACCTGTCCTTATTGCTCTAAACTTAAAAAAATTTCAATTATTAGGTATAGAAAAAACTCCTCAAATTTGGTAACAATAAAAACTAATGAATAGTTATTGTATAGACTTTAATAATTACTCATATATTTTACAAATAAAGGGCCTAGTGATTATATGATTATCATCTAGACTAGATGAGAATTTAGTTTTAAGAAAACTCGCATTTCTAATGACGCTGACATTCGATCTCTCCGTCCATTTGTGAGCAAGCCACAGATTGAAAAAAGTCTTTCAACATATGCTTGAGTTGCAGGAGCTGCAATGAGGTCTTCAGCTAATGTGCAATATGTGGGTAAACAGCACGTCTCATCTTCCAGAAATTTAAAGCATTTTGGCACATAGAGCTGTTCCTTATTTCAATAAAATATTTGTTGAGTTCATTTTGTGCTTCATTACCTGGAATAAGCTTTATTTTTTATACTCGCTGTTTTGCCGCTAAAAATTTCCATTTTGTTATTCCATTTATTTCTGGAGCAATCTCAACAGAAAGAGTAGATGCACTTTCTAAAGGTAAATCATGTTGCACCGATTTTTTAGCCTCTGACAAAATGTATTTCTTTGCACACTCTCTGATTTGTGCTCATTACCTAAAAGAGTATGCTCATTACCTAAAAGAGCTATTGCACATGTGGGGTCAAGTAGACATGCGGCACATGGCAGTGGATTAAAATTAGGATCGTTTGGCTGCAAAAGAACGGCAAAACGACGGCGTAGATCTTCAAGCATTTTAACTGCTACATCTTTGGCATCTCCAAATTGCTCAAGGTGACATTCTAAATTAAGTATTGAAGGTATAACACTGGATAGTGAAAGTGCATCCGTCTGAAGAGTATCAGTTTCATTGGCAAAAGGTTCTAAAAGATTGACAAAATCCTGAAGCATTATCCATTCGCTATTGGCAAGTGAATCAATGTTAAGGTCTCCAAGAACTTCGTTGATAGATGTCTTTATTTCCAGAAATCTCCAAACCATAAAGTAAGTGCTGTTCCATCTTGTAGAACAGTCGCTGATCACAGTCTTACCACATTTGTTGATAATTTTTTTCAATGCAACAGAAGATTTGCGAACTTTTCTCGCTAATCCACGTACCTTCAAAAGTAAGCCATGATAATTACCATCATATGCAAGCTTTACAACTAGCTGTATAACATGTGCAATGCATCCCAATCTTCTAAATGCTACGTTTTCTATTACATCAACTATCAAGTCAACATGTTCCCACTTTTCACTATTTGTCATATTCTCATCGTCTTCCAGATCTGTTATCTGCTCTTCATTAACCTCACTTTCTAATTCAATAAGTATATCACGTTCAGCTTGAGCTTTCATTCTCGACAACTTTATGCCTTTGACCATGTTTGCTCCATTGTCCGAAATAACAAGCAATATTTTTTCTCTGGAAATATTCCAATATTTTAGGCATTTTTCAAAACAATTAGCAATTTGTTCACCTGTATGTGGATGTTTCACAAGTTACAAATTAAGCAGAGCATGTATTGGTTTTTCGGATTTGAAGTGAAAAAAACAAACCGAAATTCCTAAAAAAGACGCAGTAAGACCTTTTTTAGTCCAGCCATCAAGGCATATTGTGAAGCGCCTGCCTTCAGATATGAAGTCACGAAGTTTTCTCGTTAAAACAGTAAATTCTTCATTAAGTAGGCTAGTAATTTTGGCAGAAGCAGGCAATGAAAATTTATAATCCAAGGTATTAACTAACTTTCTAAAACTCGCATTATCCACCAATGTCACTGGATTACATGTTGCAATTATCATTTGAATAAGAGAGTTTAGTCGAATTTTATGCTCGTGTGAATTAATAGGCCATGCGGTATTCCTACGATTAATGCATCGAATCAAGGTCTGGTTCTGATTTGAGGACGATTCTAAAAGAGTGGGTCCATTTTTATCCACTGCTTTTCTCTTTATCCCTGTTTGCTTTTTTTCACTTAATTTCTTTAATTCCGACTCTTCCAGCTCAACGTGTACAGACTTATGGTTTCTTGCTAAATGTAGCTAGAAAAAAATAAACATATTTATATAATTTTTTGTTTGTATATTTATATGTTTATTTATCTATCTGTTTATCAATTAATGTATAAATAAGTTCGTATACGTTATTGAATAATTACTCTAAAATGATAAAAATGAGTCGTTTGTTTCAAAATGAAAACATATCCTCTAACAGATAAACTAACTTTAAGATTTGTTGGGTTCTTTCCACACAACTTTGTATTGCATACTTTTTCACCATCAAGTAAAACTAAACATACTGATTTGTCGGATGACGCATCGTATTTAAACCATTTCCATACTGAACTATTCCTTTTCCTACCAGCAAAAAGTTTACTCAAACTCATCGCGTAGTTGTGTTGGTCTTACAGTTTGATTTTTTTTAGTTCGAAAAAATATATTCGAATAAATATATTCGAACTATATCATAACTAAACTTATTCGAACTTAATTGAATAAAATTCAATTAAGTTCGAATAATATATCGTTATAATGTATTGTAATATAATAATTATATATATCAAATAATTCAACTCGTTTCAAATCTAGAACGAAAATATTTCGTTTTAAAATAATTTTCGATTCAGTTTTTATTCCGTTCGAAAATTTAAAATTATCGTTTTTATTCTGTTCTCGTTCTTAAAATAAATTTCGTTTTAGTTTTCGTTTTCGTAAACGAAAGGCTTTTTTTTTCGTTCTCGTTTTCGTTCTCGTGTACGAAAATATCACGACTCAGACCCGTTTTGAACTGGAGAGAAGCTTTCGAAATAGTTTAATCAAGGCGTATAATAGAGATGCAGATGTGTGTGTTGAGAAGCTTAGGGAATGAAGAAGAATGGGAAACAAACCAGCATTTATTGGTTTACGCAAGGCTTATCTACAGATAAAAACTAAGGTATCTCTTTGGCATTCCAAACAGTGGCTTTTTGAAACAAAATGTATAGTTTGACATTGCTTGGTTTTGAATCAAATGTTGCTTAAATAATCATGAAATCTGTTGTGAGTGCCATTATTGATCAAGACAAATTGGTGATGAGGAGAACACCCGCTTACGTAAACAACATTTTTGATTATGTCAGAAGACATTTCAAAAAATATGGTTTGGAGAGTAAGGAAGGTGAACAGATTGGATGTTTGTATATTAGGATTACGTGTGTGCAAGGTTGGTAGAAAATTGATGTGGTCCAGAGAGAATCAAGTCAATGGAATTCCAAAAAAGTTAACCAGAAGAGTAGTGTTTTCCGTTTGTGGGCAGTTAGTTAGTAGGTCCCTTGCCAGTCTGTAGTTGGTTAAATGTAGTTTGCAGCCTTTTAAAAAGAAAAGTGGTTAGTTCAACGTAGGGTTGGGATGATGAAATTTGGGATAAAAATTTAAATTGTGTACTTCAAGAAGTTTATGATGAGGTGAAAATGTGCGATCCAGCTTATGGTGATTGGGCTGTACATGGTGACAAGGGTGGTGTGTGGTCTGGTGACGAGGGTGATGTGTTTGATTAAGAGCACCAATCATTGGCGATTGGTGCTCTTAATCAAATTGGTAAAACTACTCTAAATGATGCAATATGGCTACAAAAAGAAATGTTTGATGATCATATAAACATGGCAGGGCTGGATTCTGTAATGCGAAATGTTAATTTAAAGAAGACTAAGCGTTCTGCGACAATTTATTGAAGAATATGGTCTGAATTTTAATGTAAAACATTTTTTCTTCAAAAGATAGCTCAGCTGAAGCATTGACAAGAGTTCGAAGTAGATGGTTGAATAAATTGGCAGAAGCTGAGCATTCGTGTAATTTTGTTGGAATAGTAGTAACTGAGGCTGTATCCATTGATTTCAAGCTGCTTATTATCTCAAATAAAATGGAATTGTGGAAAGAAACCATCGTACAGTTAAGAGAATTGCAGAAAGGTTGAAAAAGTCAATACTGGAAGCATTATATTGATACATTGTCTCACCCTAATAAAGTAATGCAAGTCCGATGGAGAAAATATACAGGTATCAAATTGCGTAATAGGATTGAGAAAAGATAATCTTCCGACAAAAGCTGACATAAAAAAAATGGTTATATCGTATGCTTGAAACCACCAAATGCAAAGTCCCGTACTAAGTGGCAGCAAGAAAATCTAACTGGAGGTATTTTGTAAAAGTTAATGGTGTTGAGTAAATGGACTCCAAGAAACAGAAGTGCTGTTGCCACTAATTACTCGAGAACGACGCATGCCCCAAAAATACGACTGTTATTTATATAATCCTTAATAGTGCTAAACTAAAAAAACCGTAACTAACTTTTTGGTTAACTAAAATTAGTCGACTAAATTTTTAGTTAACCAAAGTCAGTCGACTAATTTTGTAGTTACCTTGAATTACCCGACTAACTTTTTAGTTAACTTAAAATACCCAACTAACTTTTTAGTCTAACTAAAATTAGTCGACTAATTTTTCAGTTAATTCAAAGTATCCTAATAACTTTTTAGTCAAACTAAAATTAGTTGACTAACTTTTTAGTTAACTAAAATTAACCGTTTTTAGTTAACTAACGGACTAAGTTTTTAGTTAACTGTTTTTAGTCCAACTAAATAAATTTATAAATATATAATATAATTAATTTGGGTTCATGATATCATTTTTTTTAGAATTTTTGAATAAGTTTGTTAATATTTTACCGCATAATACCGCAAAAAACAAAAAAATATTAAAATAATTTTATTTCAATTTTCATTGCCAAAGGTTTAACAAAATACTTTAAGAAAATATTTCATAAAAATTCTAAAAACTAAATATGGTAAAAAACAAATATCTTTAGAATTGAATAAGCTACCAAGACCAGTAGAAAGGGGTGAGGGGGTAGGGTGTAAGCTACAGAGGTGGTCGAAACGAATTTTGAAATGAAATACCTGAATGCAATACATTTAAATTACTTAAGTTGTTTTTACAATTGCTTTATTTAATTACAATCAATTATTTAAATTAAATTCCCTAATTATGACTGTTGTGGAAAAATACTTTGATAAATCTTCTTATGTGTTAGTTGTGAAGTTATATGAATGTTAGATCGTCAAGCATTTTTCATTTGCCTTTACAAATTGCTGTAAGTTACAATTTACAGCTAAGGGACATCAATTTAGAGTTTACTTTTCAGAGTTTTTCAGGTTTTTAGAAAAATGATTTTCCGTTTTTAATTAAAGTGAATTATATATTTTAAAAATATATATAATTATAAAAAAATATATTTATATATTTTTATATATAGATATTATAAAAATATATATTATAAAAAAATATATATATTATAAAAGAATATATATATTATAAAAAAAAATTATGTAAACGCAATATATAAAAAATAGTGCCATGTTTTTAAAAACTATGTTTTGTGGGTAATCATATTTGGATTTTCTTTATTTAACACCTCCAATAATTTTTTGATGTAACAATTTATAAATTATTTAGTTCTACACTCTTAAAATGCATAAATATTGTGACGATAATTAGATTGTAAAAATTAGGTAATTAAATTTTTTTGTTATATTTATATTGCTTAATTAAATATATATCTTAATTATTTATTATGCATGTTAATAAGAATTTAATTATTATTAACATGCATAATAAATAATTAATTCGGTAAAAAAAACAACTTTGATTATGTTATGTTAGGCGAGTTCCTAAATGTAGACGAAACTATGACGCTAAAAGTAAAGTACGAGTTTTTAGGCTTTCCTCCAATGAAGAAGAAAGAAATCGTTGGGTAAATTCAATTCCAAGAAGTACTTTTCCAAATAAACTGTTGTCTGTGAAAGACATTTTCAAGAAAATTTTTCAACAACTATTGTCAATGGGAAAGTTAGATCAATTGAACCTCCTTCAATTTTTCCAAACATTCCAGCTAGTGTACAACTAACTCAATCTTTAAAACCAAGGTCCACTACTAAAGTGTTGTCTTCTATCAGAACTGAAAAGTGTGATGAGTTGTCGCAATGTTTAAAAAACGATTTGTTCACATTCATTTTTTTATGTAAAGATATTAAAAATCGTAAATTTATTTGTCCTGTAACAACTTTTGTTATAAATGATGTTTTGCACATCCCATCAAATTCCTTTTATGTTAACTGTATACCTATGTTTGCTGTTCATATCCCAAGCAGTTTTAAATTTGAAAGTTTTCATGCTGGTGTTCGTTGTTTTATTTCTTCACTATCTAAAAATTGTATAACATATTTTGATCGCTGGTCAAAAGTTGAAGAAACAATTCGCTTTAACAACATTGAATATACAATAAACAACATTGAAATTGACCATCAAAAGTTAGTGTTACAAGATCTTATCACATCTATGTATGCATCAGAAGTAGGTAAAAAAGTTTATAATGTAGAAACTTAAATCAGGTTGTATTGTTATTTTTCAACGTCTCGAAGCTTATACAATCAGGTCAGAAAAGATTTTAAACTGCCAAGTGTAAAAACATTAACAAAAAAGTGTAAAAACACAAAAAAGTGTAAAAACACAAAAAAGTGTAAAAACACAAAAATTCTATGACAAAAAAAGTCTCTTCTTAATCACGGTTATCTTTTTGGAAAAGCGGAAAACAATCCAGAGTTGTTAGCAAATAGCGTTTTGGGTATTATGGTTAAATGTTTAAAAGGTGGACCATCTTTTTTATGCAAAATGATACCTGTCTGTCATTTGGATGCTTTTTTTTTGTTTGGGCAAGTATGCTATGTCATTAATTCAATTAGGTCTAGCAATGGAAAAGTAATTTCAATTATTGTGATGATCACAAAATTTGTGATGGCAATCGAACAAATCTAGCTTTTTAAAATTGTTTGAGAGAGTTGAAGGAAAACCATCGTTAACAAAATGTGGAAATTTTCTCTTTTTTGATTATGTTCATCTACTAAAATATATTAGGAATAACTCGATTACGGAAAAAATGCAGGAATTACAACTTAAAAAAGACCAAAATTTGACTGTCAAGTGGAGTGACCTTAAATGTATCTTAAATTTTAAGAAAGATCAGCTAATTAAGTAATCAAGACTAAGTTTTGTAGCTATACATCCAAAACCCATTGAAAGACAAAAAGTATCACATTGTTTAAGAGTATTTTGCGATGAAACTATAGCTGCTCTTAAAACTTATTCAAAAGTTATCCACCCTTGCAATATGAATGAAAACATTTGTTTTTTAAAAAAAGTTACTAAATTTTGGAAAATTGTAAGTGTAAAAGTAATTTATGGGGATATACAATATTTAGATTCTCGTAAGAGAGTTATTTCTGAAGAATTGACATAAAGTTGCAGATTTTGGAAATATGGCATTTAAAATGAGTGGTGAACAAGGTCATAGAATGAAATCTTTAACTAAAGAAAAAGGTACTTCAATTTAGCATATATGTTATGGAGCCGTCGAGATGTGTAAATATTTGCTAAAAAAACAACTTTGATTATGTTATGTTAGGAGAGTTTTCAACAA